GGGCTTAGGACTGATAACTCGCCTTATTTCCTGTTCCTTGTTTGGTTGTCGACTTAGGGTATCGATTGTTTGTCCGAATGCCGTTTAAATCTTAGTTATATATTATGTATATGTATATAGATATAAAAGTTCTTCTATTCAGTTCAATACCTTTGGGTAGCAAAGGTGTTCAAACATAATCAGTCATTCAAACAACATTACTAGTAAACTATAATAGGTATAGTTTAGGAAGTCACTACTTAGTATTTCTAGAACAATGAAACTTACAAGAGTCAGTTCATACATGAGTCAGTTCAAACATACTATAATGAGAAACAGAGAGAACATACTACACACTAGCATAGAGAGAACACACTATACTAATACAATAACAAAGATAACATTAATGTGAGCCACTACTTCATGGCGCGGCAATATACTGTTGTGTCACGTTTTTGTAACCAGAGTCTCCTGGAGGGAGAGCGTGAGTTTGTGTATACATCTATACGGGATTGACCATCCTACACCTTGCTGCTAGCTATAGTGGGACCTGCAGGTCTACGGGTGACGAATGTCATACCATTACGACGTCTTTGATCGTCGTGTTTTACTAGTCAGTCAAGTGTGGTTATAAACTCATCACATTTTACCTTAATTAAACAAACTTGTTTAAGGTAGTTAGTACATCGATAGTTACTTATATACAATACTACGATACATCCTTATTTTTTCATTACATTCATATTGTGATCTTCTCACATAAACGGTAATGTAAACTATATTTTGGTAATGATAGTCATACTTGGGAAAAACACTCACTTTTACAAAAGATGAAACATACAAAACAGTCGGGTCTTGGTAGAAGACTACTTTAGTAGAAAAAATAGGATTTTCTAGGAAGTATGCAAACATTTACAACAATCACTTACAAACTTTTACATCAAACATTTACAAACACTTTTATCAAACTTATACAAACAATGACACTAAATTACTTTTGAACTCACCAGCTTTAATGCTGATCTACGCTTTCAAAATAACTTGTATTCTCAGGTCACCAGTAGACAGGTACCGATGACCAGGTTTTGAGAAGACGGAGCACGTTCAAGACTCGTCTTTTATTTTGATTCATATTTTGGTGTCTTTCAAACTATACACAGAACACACTTGTATTAAATTATATTATTAATGCAATGGATGATGTTGTTGCTTGTTTTACTATCATGCGTTGTTATGATACTGTACATGACGTCCTCCGCCCCCGAACGTTTCCGCCGTTCTGGTTTGGGGGTGTGACAATCTTAAGAAAGGTTTATAACACTTGTCAAATGTAGACTAAAATGCTTTCTACTCTTATACATTTGAAATTGGTAAGTTGTGATGTTTTGGATAAGGACAAAGACCAACTAAGACCGATTGTGTGAAGTGTTTATCTTGATAAGAATCCGCACTAACTCTTGAATATTTGTTTTATCAAAGAATGGTTCTTGAGAGAGAATCTTATATGTCAAGAGGTCAGTAGGAGTCTTAAATACCTTGACAAGTTTCAATAACTAATCGAGAAGAAAACTTATTTTTATCACTAGCACACGACTTGAGGTTTGTAACCTATCGTGTTGGCATGTTCTTATTTTTGTGTCCATTCCAGTTAAAGTTGACTATGCATGTGATACTATGAGTTCTCAATTGTTTTCATAACAACCTAGAAGCAATGGTAGGCCCTTGTGCTGCCAAGTGGCAAGAAATTAAGATTCAACTAGTTTAATCCATATGAGCTTGGATTTGTCACTAACCTTGTCTTTTTATTATGGTTTGTCAAATTCACATGGAAAGAAACACATACACCATAAAATCAAAGTGTCATAATCTTTCTCTCCGATTCATGAAAATGATGGTGAGGAAACGCTTTCACTAAGTAGATTTTAAGAAGATAGCAGTGATGATATTTGCATTCTCAAATTTGATTATGATTACGGCATACCTTTTCATAATTTGAATTGTGAGGAATGGAAAAAAGTCTAAACATTTGAGACTTATTGTAGTAAGTTCTTAATTTGTTTAGACACACATGTGAGCTATCTAAGGAAAGGTGTATGAGTTTGAGAAGCCTAGATAAAGTCTTATCAAAGCATCTCGTATTAGAAATTTGAACTTTGTTAATGAAAGTCAATAAGTATTGATTTCTAGAAGTCCAGCTGATTTCTGGGTACATGTCAAAGCTAGTGGGAGCATAAATGTTATGCTAGTGAAAGTAATGATTATTATGCTAGTGGGAGCATAATCAACTATGATGAATGTTGCAAGTTAGCAACGTTAATTATAGAAAACAAAAGTTTCAATTCGCAAGTTGCAGGGTTTGAAAAGTTGTTTTACTATAATTAAAGGAGAGGAATTCATACTTCATTTCAAATCTAAAAGCTTAGACTGAGATTTTAATCAGATTTAATCATATATATATATATATATATATATATATATATATATATATATATATATATATATGTTATGTTGGAATGGTTCAACATAAGGAAATTCTATATATGGATGTGTTAATTGCGTTCTAAAAATTCGACTATGATTACGTCATCCCTTTTCATAATTCGAATGATGAGAACATTGCAAATAGAAATATTATAGCAAAAGACTGGTCAAGTATCATGTCTTTATGCAAGACATCATGAATCGTGTCCTATATGCTTCGGATATAGGATCGATTATATTCATCCGTTCTAAATTTTCCAAATGCCTAGGGCATTAAGAGGGAAAAGGACAAGAACTAGATATGACTAAAATGTTTAAGCAATTGTCAAGGACAATCTGAGGTTTACCAAAGATTGGTTGCTCATAGACACTTGGAAGTATGGTGTAAATTTTGGAAAGGACCATATTGACATACTCTGAAAAGAGGCAACTCTTGTTCAGAAGTGATGGTCAAATGGGAATATGGAAATATTTCCATAAGTGGAAGTTATTCTTTAAATATGTGTAAGATTAGAAAACTTAATGCAAGAAAGATGTTCAATGGAATGTACTTTGAATTTGAGACTTCGTTTCCATGGAATTTCTCTCCATTGGAATACTTTGTAATGTCTGTTGCCAAGTCTCTGTGATTTTTGTGCATAGTCATTACAAAAGGATCATTTCATATAAGTTTAGAATCTAACAAATTACAGTAAATGGCAAGAATTTGATATTCTTACATTTACAGTAAGGATTTGGGATTGTGAAATGAGCATCATTGAAATATTGTCAATTGTTTTATTTCACAAAGTAAGGACCATAGACAAACATAGTGTGCATGCTTGGAGCATGGCATAGCGATTCTTTTAGACAAACATAGTGTGCATGCTTGGAGTATGGCATGACTATTGTTTTAATTCAAGTATTGAGTTGATTATTTGAAACATTATACAATGAATAATGAGTAATCAATATGACTCAAAAGTTTTTGGGCCATATAGGATTAGTATTATTATTGTGTTTCACTTTGCATGTTTTGACTTCCCGAATAACTAGGTTATTCAAACCATCCACAATCGATCAAACTTTGGAAGTAGGTATTGAGGCAAGACTGTCATGAATGGGTCTGTAGTTTGTCTAGGACATAGCTACAGTGTTCATGAGTTCTTCTGGAATAAGATTCGAGTATTGGATTAAACCCACGCTCATTTGAATCACCTCATGGATTTTTATCACGAGTGATTATGAGACGATAATATCTTATATTCTTCAAACGGAGAGGTATGAGTTGTAGTTTACAAGTCGGTTGCACATTGATGATATGTAAAGCACCGGTAACTCCGTGTTATAAAACATATCATTGTGTGTGATTTGATGAGTAGATAGAGCAAGCATATGAGTCGAAGTTTATCCATTCCTTTTACCCTTGGAGGGATAAAAGCGATATCTGTGGGCCCCTTGATGTTTTAGTGATGACAACCCTAAGTGCTCGGTCGGGCCTGGACTGATTTGATTTGTTCAGTTAGTCGGTCATTATAAATCGGAAATTGGGAAACAACAGATGGAAAAAGAGAATGATTATAATCCATGTCCCAGTCCATATGATATATTGTAGAATGAAGGAATATATGATCCCTTATCTAATAGATGCGTCATTGACTAGGTCAGAGTTCGACAGTGGCTTTTAAGAGCTACGATTGCTAGTTGGGATTTTGGAGTCGTACTTGCAATAATAGTTATTAGACTTATCCAAGTGGGAGACTGTTAGATTAGGTGTCTAAGCTCATAACTATAATTGGTATGTACTTGACCCGAGAGTAGCATGGTCCATTTGGGTTGCATATCATCAGGACAATTTGTTAGGATGAACTTTTGAGAAGAGGTTATTTATGGTTTATTAATATATTATAAGTTCCATTATATTAACTAGCTGTGAAACCCTGCTCCGCGGGGTTCAGTTAAGACCAGAGTTTTACACTTTTGGTTATCGGTTATGTATGTGGTGTAGTGATAGATAGTGAACAGTATGCAGGGGCATTTTCGACAAAAAAATGTTAAAATCACGATTTTTTTACTAAAAGAACAGTATGTAGTGGCATTTTGGTCAAAACTGTTAAAATTATTAGTTTTTTTTATCAAAAAGACAATATGTATGGGCATTTTGGACAAAAACTTTAACACTTCCAAGATCACCTTCTAAAAATTACGCTTTTGGTGCCCGGATCCTTTCATGGGCACGCACATTTAATTTTATTACAACCAATTAAGACGTTCCTTTTGAAAAAGCTAAAAGCAGATCACCGATACCTGCTCAACATATACAAATAAGAAAAGCTATAGTCTGAAAGACATAACTTTATGATCCTTGACAGTTAGTAGAACTAATCTGCATGAAATCCTACTGAAATTAGAAGTAAATTAGATTATTTGTGTATTTGGAGATTTTAGTAGAATGTTATGTTAAAAAAATTGCTATATTCGGCTAGATTAATTATAATATATTGCTATAGCAATGTTGTTTAAATAAAATCAAAGTACAATGCTATATTCGGCTAGATTAAAAAAAATTTATGATACAATGGTATGTAAACGTGGTATTTAGAAAAATGAAAGCAAAATCTTAGCATGAATGCTATAAAAAAATGGGATATAACAAAAATTGACTGGAATATAACATTAAATTTCAATAATTGAAAGTAGCAAACAACATTAAATTTAAAAAATTGACTGGGATATAACAAAAAAATGGATTGATTATAAAATTATGCAGCCAAACCTCCAATCCATAGGTTTCTTCGTGAACATGGTGACCTGTGACATAGAAAAAGGAAGAGAATATTTAACCAAAGTTTATGTTAATTTCATTCGCAATAATGACCGGTGTGTATTTGTTATCAAGAATCCAAGATTAACCACTTACTAGAGTAGTGATAACGCTACAATAGGGTCAAGCATTACTCTCGACTGTTTATAACAAAATGTAGGTATGATAAAATAAATATCCTTTTTATGCCACATTCTCTAAAGGGTGAATTCATAAAAAATTATACCCCATGAAAGCCACTTTGAAGCAGGTATTTGATGTGCCTTTTGAAAGTAATCATCTCCATTATTAGTTTCTAAACTGTGGTTCAGGCTATCATCATCAGCAACACATCCATCAATGCTAAACATGTTAAATGCATCTTAGCTCAAATCATCTAGGTTGCTGATGGCCTCCAACTCTTTAAGGATATCGACACCGTCATCAATCATCACTTTCTTCCCTTTACTTCCATCTGCTACCTCCTGTACACATCACAAGAGAAAACAAAATTCACTACTTTCTACATGAGCAACCGTAGGGACAACCTAGAAAAGTAAAAATAAAAAAAGATAAAAGTATTAAAAATATGAAAAAAGAGTTGAATGAACTTAAGATAATTATTGATAGCATACATAAGGTCGGGAATGGCAAGAAACACATTGTTTCGAGATGCCTGTAGAAAGAATGTATGTAAAAATGTCAAATGACTGAACTACCCTCATGAGAAGATGTTTGGAAAATCTGGATTTGATTACCCGTATAAAATTGGGGACTGAAAGAAGTGGCCTGCCTCCAACCTTCTGCTTTGTAGCCTGTAATACCAAAAATTCTTCAATTTGTACAATCATTTGTAAAATGTAATATCCAAAAACTAAACCTAAAGCACAATAATTTGTCCGTTCTACAGATTGTTACCTCAATGATACAACAATGAACATTTGATGAACATTAAAATATTGGGATTCATAAACATCATAACTCCGGTTAAGCTGTTAACATGGAAAATGCAAACAAAAATCAAAAATAAAATACAAAAATTGAAACCAAAAACTTAAAAGAAACCCTAATATATAAAACTGGAGGGAGTGGTGCCACCGAAACCGCACTCCCTCCCCCGCCACATAAGCGTCATGTCATTTTTTACCACACAAGTGTGGTTTCTTGCCACACCAAGGGGGTGGTGGCACACTTTTATTAATTTTTTTTATTTTTTGTTTTTTTGTTAACTATTTTAATTTAATAAAACTTATTTTTTTAATAAAAAAACATAATTTTAAAAAGATAATATTTCATTAATTAAAAATTCAAATACCATAGATTACTTAACTTAAAAAAAACCTAAAAATTTAGAAAAACAATTAAAATATTGGGATTCATAAACATCATAACTCCGGTTAAGCTGTTAACATGGAAAATGCAAACAAAAATCAAAAATAAAATACAAAAATTGAAACCAAAAACTTAAAAGAAACCCTAATATATAAAACTGGAGGGAGTGGTGCCACCGAAACCGCACTCCCTCCCCCGCCACATAAGCGTCATGTCATTTTTTACCACACAAGTGTGGTTTCTTGCCACACCAAGGGAGTGGTGGCACACTTTTATTAATTTTTTTTATTTTTTGTTTTTTTGTTAACTATTTTAATTTAATAAAACTTATTTTTTTAATAAAAAAACATAATTTTAAAAAGATAATATTTCATTAATTAAAAATTCAAATACCATAGATTACTTAACTTAAAAAAAACCTAAAAATTTAGAAAAACAAATTAGAAACATAAAACCTACAACTTAAAAAAAAAACACACACACACCAAACGATTAAAAACTTGAAAAAAAAACAAGAAATTAGCCACGATTGACGTAACGTTTTTTCACTTCCTCCTTCATCGCCAAAACCACTTCAAGCTCGGCCCCGGTCATATTCGACGTGTCCGTCGCTAGTATTCACATGTCGCTCTCCCTTTGTTTCCGAAGCTCTCTTTCAGAAGCAATTTCCAAAATCTTGTCAATTTGCAAAATCTTGTCCATTTTGTTTCCGACGCTTTGCCTTTGCCTTTGCTTTTTGATTTGTCTCTTCCCATTGGTCGGGAAGGTGGTGAAACTGGAACAGGTTCATCTTCGTTCAGATCAAATTGAACACGAGCATCTGATGTAGTGTGGTCGGACTCAGATGTTCTGCTGCGTTTTGACCCACTATCGATATGCTCGTCTGATGTTTTGCTACTCAGCCATTTCCTGTTATCTTTCAAAAAATTCCAAACTTCAAGAAACTGGAAAGCCTTCAGATTTTCTTTTTGATACACTTTCAACGCTTTCTTCAAAATCACTTCATCGCTTTCTCCATTTTTCCATTGACGTTTCATGTTGTTCCACAAGTCATTAAACAACATGACTTCCTTGTTCATCTTCCCCCATTTGGAGTACACTTGATGTTTTGAACGATATTCTCCACGGTTCATTCCTTTATGGAACCTGTGTAAAACGCGAACCCAAAAGCGGTCATGCTTTTGGTCTTTTCCAACCGTCGTATCTTCTGAAATATCGATCCAAGATTGTGCCAACACTAACGCTTCCAAAGGTTCCCCAACATCTAGCATCCGCCTTCTCTTTTCTTTTAGTTGCTGCTCGAGTGGGTTGAGTTTCTGTAACGAATTCCTGTTCAGAATCAGAAACGAACGTTTCTGGTTGTGTTTGTTTGTTGAACAAACTCGGGTTGAGACAAAAAATCAAATGGATTAAAATCCGGGTCGGGTTGTGGTAGTGGTGGTGTTTGTGGTAGTGGTTGCGCTGGTCATTGTGGAAAATACGGAAACATACCGCCGTAGTGGTAATACGGAGGTGAGAAAATCGGTTGATCAAATGAAGGTATTGGGGTGTTGGTGTTTCTGACTGGTGTTTTTTCTTTGCTGGGTCGTTTGGAAGATGACATTTTTCAAAAAAAAAAAATAGAGAAAAGGAGTAGAGATATGGTTAAAGGTTGTGTAAAAATGTTGTGTAAAATGGTAATATATATATATATATATATATATATAGTAAAGTTTAAAAAAAAAGAAATTAATACCACAAAGACTGATTCAACGGTCAAAAAAGCAGTCAAAACCCAAGGACCAATCACAGCGCGCGGTATTTTCTAGCCGCAGTGCGGCCAAGACCGCACCAGACCGCGGCCTGGGGGCGGTGTTCTCGGTTGACGTGGCTTGAACCGCGGTCCCAGACCGCACCCACACCCTGCAGCCTAAGGGATCCATTAAAAAAGAGGCATGAAATTGATATAAGAGCACAATCGAACCTGGAGATTTGGAATTGCGCTGGGGAAGGCTTGACCCACAGAAAGTACGCTAACGTCCCGGCCACGACCCCATATGCTAGGTTGTGGCCTCTAGTTGAAAACCTATTCCAATAATCAAATCAACCATCAAAAAATGAAAGTAAAATATAATTATAATATGCTCAAATCTGGTAGCCCATAACGCTAGTTTTACAATCTGCAAAATTTGTGAGGAAAAAGATTTATAAACTGAAGAAAAGAAAACTCAAATCTTGAAATTTTTATGATGATCAAGTACCTGTTTTTCTTCTTGTGAAGAGTTGTTATCGTCCTTCAATTCTCTTAGGTTTTTAGGAATGCCTTTTGGACCAGCTGCAGGCATTCTTACTTCCTACCAAAAAATTAAACTTCTCTTGAAATATATATCGCATTCACCAAATTTGTCATAAAATTTCAACACAGTTAAGAACAGAATAGCTTTACTTTCAGGTTTCACAAACCCCAAATTCATACATTTAACTGTCCCTACAGGAACCCATTACAAAACCCTCATCTCTTGACAACATTGGTGGGATTAATAAGACGAATATACTGAATTTCAGTTTTGTAAAAGGTAAAATCATGAAAATAATTTAGGGTGAAACGGAACCTGTATGGCGATAACATCAGGATCCATGGAGTCGTTGAAGTTGGTGAACTCAGGCAAGTTGTTTTTAACGTGAAGTAGGAAGCTGTTCGAATTCCAAGTCAAGAATTTGTGGGTTGTTTCTTTTGGGTTTCTTCAACTGGTGTTGCTGTTGCGTATGGGTGATTTCCATTGTTCTTCGTCACACCAACCGCAAAAATAACCTGGCACAAAAATAAAAACCCAGTGAAAAGTTGGGTTTCATGGTGCCGAGGACCAGATATAGAAAATCAAAAGTTGGGTTTCATGGTACCGAGGACCAGATATAGAAAATCGACAAATGGTAGTAAGGGGTTCGAACTTTCGATCCAACTTTTCTTCCTGCAGTTATGTCGCATCTTTTCTGAAATACCTTCCGTTCAAATAGAAACAGTGAATCATGAAAGAAGACACAGACGGAATGGAGAACATATTTGATGTATTTGATGTTTATCTTAGTTTCTTCCTCCACTGTATTTGATATTTATCTTAGGGGGTGTTTGGCTTAGCTTTTCACAGCCCAAAAGTCTTTTTTGGAAAAGTTACAAAAAGTCAGGTTTTCCTGACTTTTCCAAAAAAGTTCCTTTTCCTTGTATCAAAACTCCAAAAGTAGCTTTTAAAACTAGTTTTGCCGAACATCTTTTGCTTTTTTTCTTTTCCAAAAAGGACTTTTGGCTGTGAAATGCTAAGCCAAACACCCCCTTAGTCTTTTTGATGAAATCGTCTCCCAAATCCGAAATCGTTTATCTTAGTTTGTATGTCCAAAAAATTTGGTCCCTATAAATTTTACTGTGTGTAATCCAGAATGAATATAAAGCCTCGAAAAAAAACCAAAACTGTTAAATGTTTCAATTTTTGACAAAAGCATAATAGAACCATGAAATTTGGACCAAAATTGAAAAGAAAATACATTTTTTGAAAGAAAGTAAAAAAAAACGCAAACTACAAGGACCAGAGGTTTATAAAACTGAAAAATGCATAATACCTTTCCATCCATATCCTGAAGAGCAGAGTTAGCTACATCAGCTGATGTATAACTAACAAATCCAAACCCTCGAGATCTACCAAAATCACAATCAGTGATAACTCTAACTACAAAAATCAAAAGCCTAATGATATCAATAAAATCAATTTATAGTTTTATAGCATTCAAATTTTGATCTTGATAGATGTTAGAATTTATACCATCGATCACTTCTCCATATTACTGAAAAGCTTCTTTTAATCGCATTTAATCAGTTACATAAGCAAGACCTGCATAGGATATTATCCGAATCTGTTATTCTGGATACTGATTTGGGAAACATGTATAGATGAGATGAAAAAGAACATGATGTTAAACCTCTTATGAAGGGTTTAGCAGATGACATGCTTCTGATTAACTAGAAAAGTGGTGAATTTGAAGAAGATAATCCCATATTTACATGATTGCTTCCTGATTGTTTAAGCGGATTGCCGAATCTACTAAGAAAAGCCATTTCAGAGGGACCTAATAACAATGGAGGAATATGAACTCAATATCAAAATGGTACAATAAAATTAATGAATAAATAGATAACGATTTTAAGCCTCTACATCTTCCTTGAAGAACATGATCATAGAACAGAAGCAATAAATACAAAGTACGACTGAAACCCTATAAATTCTGCAACTAAATCACATCACGAATGCTCTTTTATTAAACCCTAGATTCCTAAATTCATGCAACAACACATCGGGTGACAGATTTGATTCGCTAATCGTATATAGGTGTTTGGTATTACCGCCAAATAACATGAAAGGGTATGTATGTCTTCGAAAAAGCTTGATGCTGCCTCCAACCAATCCAACCCTTCGAAAGGAAACCTCAGAAGACAAAAAATTGAGGAAGTGTAAATGAATGGCAGTCTGGAGTAAGCGATGAAGGAAATCGAGGATAGAAAGAGCTCCAAAAAGTTCAGCTACAAGCTAAGGTGTAGAAACACAAACCTAGGGTCGATTCCACCATTTCTGGTGTAGATACAAAAACCTGGGCCGATTCCACCATTTTCTGCTATTGAATAGTTGAAAATAGTCGTCCATTTCGCTATTAAGGTCTGTGAGATCGTATTCAACCATGCCCTGATATTATTCAACTATCGGATCAAAATCAGAGTGTAATCGACATGGGTTTCGTACCTGAAGTGAAAACACACGATTGGTAAGACATTTGAATTTCCCTCAAGTCATGAACTTTGATTCCACAAACCCACAACCCAAAATTGAAGAGAAATAAAAGAAACTCCGAAATATAGATTAAAGAATCTTGATGAATATAATGGAATTTGATTAAAGAAAAATCACTAAGGAATTCAAAGTAAGTTATTGATACAGCTGATTGGAAAAGAGATACCAAGTGTGAACAGGTCGATGAATGGGATATGTTTACCTGAAAGCCAAAACCAGATATCAAAGGCAAACCACAATATCGCCGGCTGGAAAATTTCACTGTAGACAAACCCCTTTTATGTATAATTTGAACGGGGCGAACGATTCGGAGTACTGATGCGGTAAAGGTTTTGCATGACAGTGTGTGATGATGGTGCAAGGCCGATGAAAACCTTGGTGTGTGGTTGTGGCTGATGGCGGTGATGGAGCCCGAAAGGAAAATTCGATCCCGGTGTCTGGAAGTCGACATCGATACGGTGGGAAAGCATCTATAGTCAAAGTTAGGAATCGACTACACATATGAAATAGAAGATACAGGAGAAAGATGAACATGCAATTGAAGAACATAGTAGTAGACAGAGCAAAATCGACCGGTGGGTGGTTTTAGGGCTTCTAGAGGATTCTGATGGGAGAACAAAAGGTCGGATAAGAACGAAGAAACTGGAATGACCGATTAACCTACGGGTGTGGGATAAAATGACTGGAAACCGGAACTATTCGGAACACGTCTACACAAAGAATATGGATATTGACATAAACTGACCCTAGAGAAAACCTATCCAACACTAAAACAACGACAACAATAATACAAGGACCATTTCTGCCAAAAACTCGCCAGTTCACTATTCATGTTGATGCACAACTTTAATATATAGATAATAATATGAAATCGTATGATTTAATTAGTATTGATCAAGAATTAGTTTGGAATTTAATTTAGTGATCAAAAGAGACTAATTAAATCAATAGGGACTAAATGTGTATATTAGTTATATTTATACGTTGGGCTTATGATCCATGTTGGACTAAGTTTATGTATGGATACATAAAGAGTTGGGCCACATGAACCATGGATCGTAAACCCATGGGTATGGATTAGGGTTAACCCATGACCCTTTGAATTCTACATATAAATATGTTGCTCCATGACCAAAATCGTGTGACTGTATTCTTGGAGATTATGGACGATTTTGGTGGCTAGGATTCTCTCTCAAAATTCCATCCTTTGTTCATGGTGTGTTGTGATTCCATTTGAGGTATTTCATACTATTGGTGCTAAGTTCTTAAAGGCCAAATACTACAAGTTCTACAAGCTACATAAATAGGTAAACTCTTAACTAGTATTTTATGTTGTTTATATCATTTGTATGCTAGTTGTAGGCTTAAAGCTTTGGAAACAATATTGCATGTATAATTAGAGAAAACATAGATCCAAAGCTTTTAGGGTTGTATGTGCACCATAGGATGTTGTAGTATACTAAAACCCAACACTTTAATGGCCATAAAGTTTGCACCTTTATGCCATGAAAGCCCTTCAAAGTCCTAGATCTTGAAGCATACTCACTTGGGACGTCCATTTCCAAAGGATCATGCTTCTTGGACCAAAAACTCAATAAATTGATAATAAGGAGATCTAAGAATTCACTAAGAAAGTTTTAGACTTGCTTACCAGAAAATGATGAGAATGAAGTGGTATCTCTTGATCTACTAGCTTCTTCTTGAATCCATAAGCTTCTTCTTCTTTCATAACCTTCAAACATACAAAAACTCTCTCAAGGATGGCTCACAAACTCTCACAAAGCGTTAAGGTTTCGAGATTTAGGGTTTGGGATTTGGAGGCTGTAAATGAGGCCAGTCTTTGGAGGTTAAGGTGTTAAAATAGTGTGAAAAACCTTGAAAATTAGGGTTTCCTTCTGCCAGTCCTAATCGTCGAGTTGAGGCTCTCAACTCTTCGAGTAGACTTCCCATCCCGCGTCTAAATTCCACCTATACTTGACGAGTTTAGGGCCTCCAACTCATCGAGTTTCTAAACAAAAATGAATAAATTATAACTTTAAATACATACCAGGAACCAGGCGTTACACCTCGGAACCTCCCATCTCATCACGGCCTCTACCTTTACCGGATCGACCAATATACCGTTGTGGTTGACGAGGTGCCCCATAAACTGCACCCCGTGCAACCAAAACTCTCACTTGGAGAACTTTGCGAAAAGTTTCTCTCTCCTCAGCGTCTCCAGCACCTCCCTGAAGTGCTACTCGTGATGGCCCTGTGTCTTGGAATAAACCAAGATATCGTCAATAAAGACTATCACAGACCGATCCAACATCGGTCTGCATATGCGGTTCATGAGATCCATGAATGCGGCCAGAGTATTGGTGAGCCCAAACGGCATCACCACGAACTTATAGTGACCATATCGAGTCTGAAAAGTTGTCTTCTGTACGTCCTCGTCTCTGACTCTCATCTGCTGGTAGCCTGCACGCAAGTCGATCCTGGAAAACCAACATGCTCCCTGAAGATGGTCAAAAAGATCTTCGATCCTCAGGAGTGGATAACAGTTCTTCTCCGTCATCTTATTTAACTCCGAGTAGTCTATACACATCCGAGGGGACGCGTCCTTCTTCTTCACAAATAGTATCAGGGCTCCCCATGGTGAACTGCTCGGTCTGATAAAACCCTTGTCTAACAGCTCCTGTAGTTGTGTAGATAACACCTGCATCTCGAGAGGAGCCAACCGATATGGTTCCTTGGCTATCGGAGCCGCACCCGGAACTAGGTCAATCCTGAACTCCACCTGGTGCTCCGGAGGCACTCCAGGCAAGTCCTCCGGGAACAAGTCCGGATACTCGCACATAACTCGCACATCATCCACGGTCGCCTTACCCTCCTCCCGGGTATCCATAACGTAGGTAACAATACCTGCACATCCCTGATGAAGGTAGCGTCTGGCTCTTGCTGCCGAACACATGATCGGTCCATGATGCGGTCTCTCACCCTAAATCACCAACTCTCCCCCAGTTGGGCTCCCGACCCGAACCAACTGTTTTTCTCAGTCGATCACCCCCCATTAGGGCTCATCCAATCCATGCCTTTGATGACCTTGTTCCCAGGTAAAGGAACAGGAACCAAATCCACGAGGCAACGCTCGTCATGCATCCTCAGTACACAATCTTAAAACCTCTGATGCCCGGACGGATCGGTCGTCCGTAATCTCAACCTCTCCAGAATCGGTATGAAGTGGGCACTCTTGGTCAATCGATCCACGATTACCCATATCGCGTTCACTCCGTGCGCCGTCCGAGGTAACTTCGTAAGGAAGTCCACACAGGGATATCCAACATCTGCATTTTGTCGTGCGGTATCTGATGCTCTACCTTGACTTTCCTACAAGTCAAGCATCTATCAACGTACCATGCCACATCCTGCTTCATGCAGGGCCACCAATAGTCAGGACGAAGATCCCTATACATCTTCGTCGCCCTGGGATAGATAGAAAATATGGATTTGTGCGCCTCCTCCATCAGAACCTGGTGCACACCCCAAGATATGGAACCCACACTCTACGATGGAGTGTCAATAGCCCGTGGCTATCATAGTCGAAGAAGGAAATCTGACCCACTATACGCTCGCTCTTCCAATGTTCCTCCTTCATATCCTCCTACTGAGCCTCCCGAATCTACTCCAAAAGCGGAGTCACCACTGTCATCCTCAGACAGATGTCTCTGATCGAGGCCGCGAATGCCTTGCGGCTAAGTGCATCGGCCACAACATTGGCCTTCCCTGGGTGGTAGAGGATCTTGCAATCGTAATCCTTCACAACATCCAACCACCGCTGCTGCCTCATGTTCAGATTTGGCTGGTCCATCAAGTACCTCAAGCTATTGTGATCCATGTAAATGGTACAACGGAAACCATATAGGTAGCTTCGCTAAATCTTGAGGGCAAAAACAACCGCCCCCAACTCTAGGTCGTGCGTCGGATAATTCGCCTCGTGAGGCTTCAACTGCCTTTAGGCGTAAGCGATGACGTGCCATCTCTACATCAACACTGCGCCGAAACCTGAGATGGACGCGACACAGTATACTATAAAATCCTCCACGCCCTCTGGTAGGGCTAATATTGGCGCCTCGCACAACCTCTGTCTCAAAGTCTCGAATGTTGCCTACTGCTTAGGCCCCCAGCGAAATGTCAACGACTTCTTGGTCAGTGGGGTCAGTGGTACCGCTATCTTAGAGAAATATGGAATGAATCTCTGATAAAAGCCTACAAAACCGAGGAAGCTCCGAATCTCGGATGGAGACCTCGTGTAACATCCCCGAAATTCAAGACCAAAAATATCATTTTTAATTTAATAATTCATAAAACAGATTACCGAAAACACCATCGAGGTTATCTCATATCATAAAAACCCATAAGTCATATGTCTAAAAACATGTCCTATGATAATAATGTCATAGTACAAATCCCAAGTTTATCATAGAGCAGAATATTGTGGTGTGATGCTCTGCAGTCATGCCTGCTCCTTTCACTTCGAAGAAGAAGTACCTAAAACAAAACTGTAAATCGTATGCACGAAGCTTAGTGAGTTCCCCCATCATACCACATACCATACAATAACATACTGTCAGGCATACCTGGGTGCCCGACCTACCCCTTTCGGTCTCTTTCAACCGGTAACCGCCTAGCATATCTAGGTGCTGGCTTGTCACACCCCCAAACCTAAACGGTAGAAACGTTCGGGGGCGGAGGACGTCATGTACAGTATCATAACAATTGAATAGTAAATAAAGTACACACCACCATAATATAAATATTTGAAAAGTTTACATGATTGTAAGTGTTACATGTTTGAATATCAAATACAATATGGTGATCCAAAAATATGTTACTAACGCCAGCGCGTTAGTCTTCAAAAGTAGTTGCTACCTGGTTTAGCGTTTTCCTGAGAATACAAGTTATTTCAAAGAAAAAGCGTCAATAATAAAGTGGGCGAGTTCATAAGTAGTGTTTTGAGAAAATGTATGCCATTCGAAAGTTCACGTTCATTTTCCAGAAAATCCGATATTTTCTTATGAGTGTATAAAATGAGTATGAATGATTGTTGTATAAATTGTATGTATTTGAACCAGGAAAATCCTATATTTTCCTAAAAATGAAATGCAGTTTCAAATGTCCAAGACCGTAACCTGTAAGCAACAATGACATGCTCAAAAGAATGGTGTATAGTCTTATTATAAAACAAAACTATAAGAAGGTTTGTATTTGAACGTGAAAAGAACTTTATTTGTTACTTTTCCCGCGAAAGTATAATACCAAAATAGTTGTCTATCCAGTGAGTTGTTATAACCGTACTATCATACTTTGCCTGTAGCGACGTTCTTCAGGCGTCGAAATGAGATGACACTTGTCACCCCGGGGACTCTAGCTAGCAGTCAGGGCGCAGGATCATTAGTCCCGTATAGATCTATACACACTTGCACGTTCTCCGGACGGGAGATTCTGGTTATAAACAGGACTTCTAGTGGTACCTTAAAAGGTATATTGAAGATGAATGCCTCACGAATTCTCAATTCAGTCCCGTATTAAAATGAATATGTTTGTTTCTGAAATGATTATCCTTTTTCACAATGCTAATAAAGGCATAAAATGATTTGTATGTTTTGTATGCATAAAGATG